ATCCTCTTTGCCAAAACACAAGGCGACCGACCATAGGCCTTTGAGCGCCATCACAAGAGGGGGTGTTGTGTTGTCGTTATGGCTGATGTGATGAATGTATCTGTGATGTGATGTGTCTGTGATTTGCTTTTATTGGCTTTCAATAAAATGTAGACACATTTTTGTGGCCAAATTTTTAATGAATTCTTTTTAATTGATTTCGTTGCTCGGAAGATGGAACTCAATTTGATGGGAAATTTTAAGCTGGTAATGGAAGGATTTCAATGCCGCTGTGTAATGGTCAATGGTTTTTAGATTTATGCAAGGAGTATATGAATGCATATGCACCCTTGGGGATATAAGATTTGGTCCTACTGGCAACAATTTATTATAAGGAGATAAAATGGACTTTAAAAGCATAACATGAACTCTATTGGTTTTCTTTATATCTTTGCATTCATAATGTTTTTTCCTAGCTATTTCCTAACAGAAAAAACACAACTAAAACTCTAATTTCCATCTATGACTATCAAGTTACAATAAGAAAATTTAAAATAAATTAAAATTTAATTGAAAAATTAGAAGCTATTGGAAAGCAACAGGCTTTACCAAATCTTTTCATTAGAAACCGGGATATAAGCTAATAGTAGTAGTATAGTAATTGAATTTTTAAGTGAAAGCCTACTCATATGATCAGAAACAAGTAAAAAAAGCTGAATTCGGCCGGGCCGGACTTCTTACTCTCTCCACCATTTTGAAGGAACATGAAATTTTTCAAAAAAAAAAAAAAAAAAAAGGAGAAAAATACCTCTCAAATGAGACTCCTTATATGGTGGCCATACGAAAGACGTATAAGGAATTTTTTTGGCAGAGGCTATAGTAACCATTACCAACTTCAATTATGAAATTTGAAACTATTCTGGTGATTAATACCGCAAAAATCATAAAAATATCGAATATCGGGAGGTATCGTTAGATGTTGTATTCGTTTTTGTTACCCATTACGAACTTTAAATACAAAATTTGAAATAATTCTGGTAAAAATGTCGCAAAAATCAACAGAATACCGAATATTGGGAGGTACCGTTATATGGGGGCTATACGAAAACGTGGACCTGCATACGCGATTTTTTCTCATAGGCTGTAGTAAATATTACGAACTTCAAATACGAAATTTGAAACAATTCCGGTTAATGATATCGCTAAAACCATCACAATACCGAATATTAGGAGGTACCGTCATATGAGTATTGGGAGGTACGCCTATATGAAAACTTGGACCTACATGAGCAAAAATATCTATATCGTTTTTGACAAAGGACATCAAAACAGTAATTATACCCTCAGCCTCATGTCGAAAGCGAGTATATGTCATGTTTAGAGAAAAATGCATTTTAATGTTTGAATCTTGATTTGTTTGGAGCTGATTAAGAGTTGCGTTTTAATTTCTGACTGGAATTGTTAACCATGACCTTGTCGTATGGTACACTTAAGAATAACTTCGAGAATTTAATACTTCCAAGCGGACCTCCGAAAAAACATGGTAAAATTCGAGGAAAAAGTTAAACTTGCTCCAAGTCGAACTCCTGGAAGTGGGAAAAAGAAAACGAGCAAAACTTTATTTTTCGGTTTCGCTCGAATAAGGCCGAGCTTGCTTTGTTCATTGTAGAGTGGAAGAAAAATTCGAGCAGATTCTACTATTCCCGAGCACTTGTATATTTTTTTATCATATCGTTGTTGTATGTCTATGTATGTGTATTTTTTGTACACGGTAATACCCCCATCTTCCTTCCTCTTCTACAGAGTACAGCAACATTCACTCGATTTTACTCATAGAGTAAACTCTCACTCTAATTCGAGCGATTCGGCTCCCACTCTAATTTTTCAAACAGGAGTGACTCGGAAACGCTCTCACACAAAACAAAAGAGTAAAGAGTAAACATTATATAAAAATCTCACAAATTCCGGTCGCTAATGAGAACGAGGAAATCTGTGCTCTGCTCCCAAGACCTAATTGAGATAAAATATTGCATATATCGTTCCACTTCTTCCGGAAACTCCTTCACAAAAGGTCAGCATCGTGATGGATTACTCTAAAATATTTTGAAATTCCTGTTCGAATCTTGTCAAACTTTTCAAATATCAACATTTCTGCCAATATAAAATCTAGTGGGAGAACTGGAAACATCGTTTCCTTTCCTTCGGTAACTCTAACATAAAATTACAAAATTTCCAACAAATCATGTATTTTATAGAGAGAGTAGTGAGTATTTAAAGCAATACAAACTTCGCACATCATAAAAAATCATAAAATACATATGCAGCATCAGGAGTCCATCATTCAGCGCAAACATATCATTTCACAACACCAAAAACACCTTACATTGAAACGGAAATAAAAATACAAACATTCCTCTTTAAAGATTTCCGCAACAGCTCTTGCCGTTTAAAGCCCACAGAAAAATCCTTTGCATTGAAATAAAATTTATGTCATTTTGCGAGAACATATAAAACAAGGATACAATGTCCTTATTTATGCAAATAACTCAAAACAGCCATAAGTCAAAGTATTTGCAGGTAGACAGACAACCCATTCCATTATTGTTTTTCCTCACCTGATGTTGATAATGCCGCTACTGTTGCTCTGGCCGAAGGTGGGGTGGAAGGCATCATTTGGAAGGTGAATCTTTTGCGAATAAATAACTCTTAAAGATAGACTTCATGCCACGGCTGTTTGTTTTGTGAAATTACTCATAAGCCAGTGTAAATAACACAAAAACACAGTGTAAATGTCGGAATATTCCCAACGAACCAAACAAAAAAGAATGGGGGGGAAGCAGACAAGAAAACAAATAAAGAAATGAGAAAGGAATGAAACAAAAAGATGTCTGCCGGGTTTGGATTTGTGAATGTGTTTGAATTTTGAAAACCGTCTAATTTATTTGCCTTGAGGCGTATAAAACAGAAAAAAAAGGATTTCCATCAGGAGAGGAGGAGAGTGGGGAAAGGAGAGAAAAATACGGAAACAAGGCTCAAGGGTGTAATTTTATTGATTTCTGTTTTCAGTGAAAAAGCAATTAGAATATGAGAATAAGTTTTTGAAAAAAATAAATAAATAAAAAAAAATCTATGTATAAATAAAATTGTGATTTATCAGAGAAACATCCTTAAATCTTATTGTGTAATTGTTGGATTTATTACAACGTTTTAAAGGGGTAACTTTAAGATACAAAAAACAATGTTCAGTTCAGTTTCAGTTATTTTGGATAAAATATAAAGAAGTAAGTCTCCCTCTCGTCTTCCAAAAAACCTAAGGGATACGAATGTTGTAATAAGAACAGAACGGCACCTCCCGATATTCGGTATTTTGATGATTTTTGCCACATTTTTTCACGGATTTGCCTGAAAATTGGTATTTGTAGGTCATAATGGGTTCTAGCTCCTTTGGCGAAACATTGCATGTTTAGGCCCACGATTTGGTATAGCTCCCATATAACGGTACCTGCCGATATTCGGTATTTTGATGGATTTTGGCACATTTGCCCATGAATATGTCCAAAAATTGGTATATGTGGGTCATAATGGGCTCTAATGTTTCCTTTAACCTAAGGTGAAGGGTATTAAAAGTTTGGCCCGGCCGAACTTAATGTTTTTTTACTCGTTTAATATATAATTTGAAGGATAAAGCGGGATATTTCGAAATTAAGGGAAGGGTATTTGAAAATTTAAAGGGTAACAATATACTACAAAGAGCAACATTGTTGATGGGTGATCGGAGAATATTAGTCCTTTGAAATTTTTTGAAAGCGTCACTCTGAAAATTATTCCAGTGACAGCTCATTATATTGTTTACAAGCGTACCAAAGCATTTTGGTGAGAATTTCCAGAAAAATAGTTATACGTGATGGAATTCAAGCGTGATAGTGTGATTTCTTTATATTTGGCTGGAAAACCATACGTGGCTATCGTTAGAGCACTCCAGCATTTAAATGAGAATTGTGTCTCGTACCATCCCTCGTTACCGTAATTTTGGTAGCGTAATGGTTCGAAAAGTAAAGAGCGACTTGATCGAAACCCGCGTCGCAGTGGCCAAAAAAATGGCTTGCGAGCGGAAAATATCGCAATATTCCATTCGGCAAATATTGAAAAATGAGCTCGGGGTAAAGCCATTGAAGTTCGAAAAGAAGCAAGAACTTACACCGCAACGGAAAGAAAATAGACTGAAAAGTGCTAAAGAGTTGCTTCGCTAGACCGAAAGTGGTTTTCTCCGATGAGATGAAAAGATTCGTGCCAAAGAGGTGCCAAAGAGGTCAGTATGGAAGCCTTGAGCACGCAAAAGGACTCAGCACCATCGCCCTCAGCACGCGCCACCCAAGAATGGTTACAAATGAGGTCCCTCGCTTCATTTTTAGCGCTCAATGGCCACCAAAATCTCCAGATACCAATCCGTTAGACTATTGTGTCTGGAGAACTTCGGAAAGCAATTTGGGCACTAAAAAATAAAAAGTGTCGATCACCTCAAGCAAGCGCTTCGCCGGGAATGGGCCAAAATATCACATAGCAACATTCCGGCAGCGTGTGACGGTTTCATTGGCCGTTTGAAGGATATAATTAGTGCCAAAAGTGACCAATTCGAACAAATCTAAACTCATTCTAAAATTTGATGCTATTTCCGACATTTTTTGCTTTCATTCAATAGAATTTTAAAAAATAGTAAATATGGCGTTTAACTTTGTTGCAGTTTTTTATCTCACCCTGTTGTGTTATTGCTTTTTTACCTATTTTTGGCTCTCGGTGGAAATTTGGTAAGTGCTTACGTCCTGTGATAAGTAATATGTTAAAAATAAGGGTTTATGATGCTATTTTGTGATCATATAAACCGTGAAAACTGTTGCACATGTATTTACGACGATTTTGACACTCATTTATTCCCCCTTCTATTCAATTCAAACTCCCAATATTCAATAAAATTGAAAACCGAAAATCGAAAAAAAGTTATCCATCACAATCACTCAGCTTACCTGACTTAGTTCATCTCTAGATAGCCGAGAACATTTTGGCAGCAACGCTTGCATGTCATCTTCAAACTGGCCATCGCCGCAGCTATCGGTGGCATCGAGTGAATGAAACTGTTCCGAGGCGTTGTCGTGCGACATGATGTTGTGTCCCGATGATGGGTTGCCGTTTTGTAGATTCAGATCAAAACTTAAATTGGTTTTGCCGCCTGCAGTCGTGCCACCAGTGGCAGTAACACCACCTCCACCACCACCAAGCGAGCCATCTCCACCATTATTGTCACTTCCTTTAATGGAATCTAAACCACAAAATGGTAGACGTTGATGGCTGCTAAGGCCGCTACTGCTTGTGTTGTTGTTATTGTTGTTATTTGTAGCGGACGTTGTTGTCGATGCAGTATTTGTTGCGTTCGATTTTAATTGATTGTTTTGTCCGGCTGTTGCATTTAAGCCCTGCTGTTGCTGTTGGTGATGGGTGGTTGTTGTTGTTGCTGCTGAAGCCAATGTGGAATCGGAAGATCTGCAAATAACCAACAAAAAAAGATTGGGGAAATTAATTTCGAGTTAATTAAATTTTGTCTGCTAAGGCATGGTATGTTGAATGTAAATTTCAGAGTTGGCTTGGTTGTTGTTGCTGTTCTATGACCAAGTTTGAACTCCTTCGTTTGAACAAACCGTGTGCGTGTGTGTTTTCATTTGCCTGAAAGGAGTTTGAAGTTTGCATGTTTTATGTTAATTAAGCCAAGTTTATTGCACCAATAAATACCAACAAAAAAAAAATGGTTAAAAAATAAAAGCACATTATCGACACAACTTTGTTGGAAGTCCAATTGAACAACTTGTTGGCAAGTTGTTGAATGCGGGTCTTGTTGCTTGGCATGCATTTAAGAATGAAAGTGTGCAATGAATTGTTTTTATTTTGTTGGCCTTTTTTTCTGCCGATTTGAAGTGGCAATAAACTTTTTTATTCGGATTTTTTAAATATTTTTTCGATATCAAATAAGTGGCAATTATTAGTAATGCATATACATGTGTTTGCAATGATTCACAATTTGATTTCGATTCTTTATTTGCTTTTCATATTTTTTTTAGAAATTTTATTATGTTTGCTTTTTGATTACTTTGAATATTTGTTTGTAAATATTTTTCTACAGTTATCGGTTTTGTAAACAATAACATTTACAAATGGATTGAGCAACATTGATACTAGAAATTATAATTTATATCGGGTTAAAGCTGTAGATTTTTTCGGTGAAAAAATTTTACTGTGAAATTGCGGCTAATTAGAAGAATAAAGTAAGTTTAGCTAACCTCCAAACGAGGAGCATGGTATTTTTGACCATATTCGTAAGTACCTTATATGTGGGGATACTACGTGAGACTATGGGTACCAGCTATATTAAAATAACGGACCTCCGTCAGAGAAACCCTACACAAAGGTGCATACCGACCAATAAGCCCCTCTGAGTTCTATGATGTATTTGAAGTAGAGATATCGTCAAAATCGATTGCGAACAAATTTTCGAGATTGTTGGCGGTATCTATAGAAATGGTAGATATTTAACAAGACATGTCCGCGTTACAACCATAGCATAGCTTGAAGGTAATGCCTGTTTGAATATTTTCGAGTCTGTCAAATTAATCTGTTACAATTGTACAATAATACAGGTGGCCGTATCATAGCAGTAGGTGATATATTGAAATGTTATACTTTTTATACCCTAGACCACATAGTGTTAAGGGTACTATGTCTTTGTGCATTTGTTTGTGACATGGAGAAGGACTCATAGTTACTCTTGAGAATCCGGATAAAATCACTTTCTGAGTCGATTTATGCATGTCATTCCATCAGTCAGTCCATTCGTCTGTCCATGTATTTTTGTGAACAAAATGCAGGTCGCATTTTTTATCCGATTGAGATGGAATTTTCAAAACAATATTTGTGTGACCCAAGGACGAACCCTATAGAAATTAATGATAATCGGTTTAAATTTAGATATAGCTCTCATATATATCTTCAACCGATTTCGGGTTAATTGTGCACCGAATGGCCAATATCAGTCCAAATGACCTTAATTTTGGCAAATGCAACCGAATTCAGTCTAGCAGTAAGTACATCAAATTTAATAAAAATAGGTTCCGATATAGTTGTAGCTCCCATATATATGTTTCATTCGATTTGGTGTTAAAATCCCCCACATTCGTAATATGCACTCCACAACAATTATATTTGATATCAGATACAGCCTAGAAATACTTCTGACAAATTGTTGGTTCAGATTTGGATGTAGCTCCCATATGTACAGGGTGACATAAAAAAACTGCAAACAACTTCAGACTGCTGTCTATTCCAAGCCACTCGTACGACAACTGTTAAAATTATTCCAGTGACAGATCGTTATATTGTTTAAAAGCGTACAAAAGCATTTTGATGAGAATTTTCCAGAAAAAAATGTTATTCGCGATGGAATTCAAGCGTGATAGTGTGATTTCTTTATATTTGGCTGGAAAACCACAAGTGGCTATCGCTAGAGCACTCCAGTATTTAAAAGTGAATAAATCTTTTGTGTCTCGTACCATCGCTCGTACCGTAATACTGATAGCGTAGCCAGACGTCAAGCAAGTGGACGGAAGAAAACACCAACATCAGCAGAATAGGTTCGAAAAGTAACGGAGCGACTTGATCGAAACTCGTGTCGCAGTGACCGAAAAATGGCTCGTGAGCTGAACATATCCCAATATGCCATTCGGCAAATATATTTTTCAATAGTTGCCAAATGGAATATTGCTCGGTATTCCAAAAAGAGTAAGAACTTACACCGCAACAGAAGGAAAATAGATTCAAAATAGCTAAAGAGTTGCTTCGCTTGGCCGAAAATGGTGAACTGCCGAATTTGGTTTTCTCCGTTGTCCGGCAGTTTGTAAACAAACAAAATGATCGTGTTAACTTGCCAAAGAGATCAGCTGAAAATGTGCACCTTCGCTTGGCCCCCAGAACTCAAGCGCCGGCGAAATGTGGGCCGCCATAACTGCCGGCATCAGAATAAATGCCGAACATTAAAGCCTTGGGCACGCAAACATTTTGGCCTCAGACCTTGGACATTCCAACAGGACTCAGCACCATCGCCCTCAGCACGCGCCACCCAAGAATGGTTACAAAATGTGATTCCTCGCTTCATTTTCAGGGCACAATGGCCACCAAAAATCTCCGGATACCAATCCGTTGGACTATTGTGTCTGGAGTATTTTGGAAAGCAAGTTTGGCACAAAAAATACTAAAGCGTCGATCACCTCAAGCAAGCGCTTCGCCGGGAATGTGGCAAAATACTGCAGAGCATCATTCGCGCAGTATGTGACGATTTCATTTCCGTTTGAAGTCCACAATTCGTGCCAAAGGTGACCAATTCGAACTAAACTAAACTTATTATAAAATTTGATGCTGTTTCCGATATGATTTGCTTTTGTTCAATAAAATTAAAAAAAAATGTAAAAATTATGGCGTTTGACTTTGTTGCCGTTTTTTTTATCTCACACTGTATATTATAAACATATTTTGTTGGTTTATTAAGAAACATTAATTTAAAGTATTTTAAAGCAATTTTGCATATTTCTATAATGTCTATAACAACATAATCATTTTTGACTTTCAAGAAAATAAAAGAAAAACACCCAGAAGGATGCACAAACAGCGAAAAACAAAAACTTTTCCCATAGGAAATTTGTCAATGAAAACTTTTTCCATTCAAATCAGTTTTGCTTTGAAAACAAATTTTCAAAGAGCATTGCAAGCAGAATGCAGTCATAGCATCAGCATCGCATTAGGTAGGATTCTTTATTTCTCTATTTGGCAAAATTGAAAACTACAAACAATGCAAAGAAGTTTTTGTTGTCTTTGTTTCCCTGCATTATTCTCATATGAATAAAAAGTTCTCGTATTCTCGTCTATAATACTTACGAACAATAGAAATGAATGCTGCTACGTGCACTTCTAAGTTTGATTTTTGATGGATCACAAAGTAAAAAGGAGGCAGAGAAAACCATTATTTGCCAAATAAAATATTGTTCGAGAGATTATCAAAGAAAATTGAAATGAAAATATGAACACCAATGAAAGTTTGAAAAGAATATTATTTGTAGGGGAATTTCAGAAAATAAATATTTTCTTTTATGAATATTGATTTTTCAATTTTCAAAAAATCTTGTTTGGACTCTGACCTTTAAAAAGAGAAACTTTAAATCCTTATGCACCATTGCTAAAGAGATACATTTTTAACTTTATTTCCATTAGCTTGAGAGCTTTTGACCTTCGGCGATTGAAAGTTTGTTCTGATTTTTTTGTTTTTATTCCATGGGGAAATCACTGAAAAGTAAAAGTTGTTGCTTTTTATAATTAAATCTCAGAAAATAAAACGGAAGTTTTCCGGCAGTAAACACAAAGTAGACTACTCTGGGAATTGGTGGCAGTCAGAATACGGATACATATCGGACTTGTTATGGTAATTTGAGTGCTCAACTTATGTGGAGTGGATTTTTGTATAATACTGTTAAACTTTTCAAAAACCCATAAAGTGGATGGGCCGGGAACATCTATGGACAATTTTATACTTCAAGGATTGTCATCTTCCAAATCTTCTTAAATACCGAATTTGAAACAATTAGATTATTTAAAATAATTAGGATTATCAAAATACCGAATATCGGTGGGTATCAAAATATGTGCGCTATAGGAAAACGTGGACCGCCACAGGAGCTAGAACCCATTATGACCTAAAAATACTAATTTTAAGACAAATCCGTGGAAAAATGTGGCAAAAATCATCAAAGTATTGAATATGCGGAACTTTAGAACTTTACATACAATGTTCCGTCACCGGAGCTAGAGCCCACTATGACCTACAAACCAATTGTTAGACTTATCCGTGAAATGGGGGCTATACCAAAACGTCGATCTATATATACTATGTTCCGCCACCGGAGATAGAACCCATTGCGAACTACATATACCAACTATTAGACAAATCTGTGAAAAATGTGGCAAAAATTATCGAAATACCGAATATCGGGAGGTACTGTAACATGGGAGCTATACAAAAACGTGAATGTTTCGCCACCGGAGCTAGAACCCATTATGACCTACAAATGTCAATTTTTAAACACATCCGCGAAAAATACGGAATATCAGGAGGTACTGTTATATGGCGGCCACATTAAAACGGGGCCCGATATATCTCATTTTCAGTACCAACCATCCTAGACACAATACAAATTGTTCTGCCAAATTTTAATGTGGGCTGTATCGTGATTTCAACAGACAGGCAGATAGACGGACATCGTTAAATCGACTCAGAATTTTCTGCTGATTAAGAATATATATATACTTTATGGGGTCTACGACGAACATTTACGGATGTTACAAACCTTTTCAAGTTGGAGGGTAAAAATGTTTATCTTTGCATGTTTTTGTCTATGGTCTTTACTTTGAAAATCGAATGCGAAAGTCGACTTTGGGATTTTTAACTC